CTTTTATTTCTACACATGACCATATTACAAATAGTGTATGCGTGGTGAGCCACAAACTCTCTGACAGTGACCCCACTCTATAGATGGTAGAATAGTAGATAATCATGTTTTTGTGCTAAAAATCTTGACATATATACTGTCATTTTATTTTATAATTTTCATGTGCTGTTGAATATTTTCCATTTGTGTTTTGTTTAAAAACCCAAAGATATTTATTAAAAATGTTCTCAGTGGCTGTATGAAAACAGGTTGGTGTCTACTGTTTCAGAAACTAGGTGTTATATACAAGTCTATACTAAATGTAGAACTCTATTTAAAAGCTATGATGGCATTTCCTGAACATTGCATCTGTCTCCCGAGTATTTGATAACTATTCCATGCTAGTTAGTGAGGCCATTTAAGTAAAGATAATTTATATCAATTTTATTTCTCATTTATTTGTTGTAAGGAGTGGCGGGCTGCATCCCGCAGCCCAGCTAGCTTATACCCAAATAACCACACAGAAATTGTATTAATTAAATCACTGACTGGCCCATTTGCTCTAGCCTCTTATTGGATAACTCTCACATCTTGATCAACCCATTTCTGTTAAATCTGTGTATCACCTAGTGTTTGTGGCTTACTGGCGAGATTATAACCTACCTTTGTCTCAGGCAGGAAATTCATGGCGGCTGCCTGACTCTGCTCTTCATCCCAGAATTCTGTTCTGTCTACTCTACCTATCTAAGTTTCTCCCTATCAACTAGGCTAAGGCAGTTTCTTTAATAACCAATGAAAGCAACACAAATACAGAAGGACCTTCTACACCATTTATTTAATGTTGAATTGCTCCAAAATGTTTATTACAGTGTAATTCTGTTTCAGTTTTCTATGTTACGCATTTGGGAAAATTTAAAATGTATAATAAGAGAATTATTATTTTACAGTGTTGCTGTTTGCTATTTCACAAAAATATATTCATTTTAAGAAAGTACTTAATTTTACTTTCCAAAAACAAAACGAAACACAAAACAACAAAAAACTAGTGTGGTAAAAAGGTGAAATGATTCCTTAGTGAAAGGAAATAATTCTATGTTCCCTACAACCTGCCAAAAATAATGTAAATGGAACTGACTAATTGTTATTAAGTTCTGTATATGCCAAGTACATACATGTTATATGCTATATTCGTGCATGTTTTGGGGAACTACATACTACTTTATAATGCACACGGAAGTTCAGAGATACATTGCTTCTCAATTTCACAAAGAGAAAAGTCCTAAGCAAGTAATTTAAATTTTCTTGTTTTCATGTGCTCTTGGAGGGGAGGGAGTATAGTTAAAACTAGCGTCAGAAAAGACAACCTTTCCCTTTAAACAAAAACCTGTAAATTTTAGATGTAAAGACAACCTGTGAAGCATACTCATTGTCTCCCACATGGTATTCAACTTGTAGCATTGTAATTTATTTAGCTCAACTACTGCATCAGCATTGAGAGATTATAATCAGGTAAAGGCTGCCCTTTGTTCTGTTTTCCTTAGCATTTTTCTGTCTTTTCTGCTTCCTATTTCCTTCTAAAAAAATGCACAGTAATTATGGTTAGTCAGAGAGTCTCTTCAGCCTTGTGTAGACAGCAGGTGTTTCTAGGGGGGCTTTCTTTCTTTTGTATGACCTTGACAGGGTGTCAGGAGTACTGCTGTGGTATTTTGTAAACTGTCTCTCACATGAGGTTTAACTGATGCTTTTTTCAATTGCTTTGAGGGCTTGGCAGAGAGAGATGGAAGGCTCGGGTGCCCAGGTTTATCGATGCAATGGTACATGCTAGCAATGGCATTCACAGATATTGAACACCCACAGACCATTGAATTTGCCATATGCCTCGCCTGTTTTGGCTTCTATAGGAAAAGTAAAACAAAATTCCACAAACGCAGTCATTTATACACAAAGTAAAGTATTTCTCACAGCTCTAAGGGTTGGAAGGATCAACACCAGGGTGCATCCATGGAACTTACTAGAAGTTCTCTCTGCTAGCTTGTGTCTGCTTATTTCTCATTGTGTCTAAAGGAGAAAGCTATCTTGAGCCTCTTTGGTAAGTCCCACTCAGGAATTAACTTCTCCTACTTGTTGCCAAGCTCTTATATTTAAGTCCGTCAAGTTAAAGGTTAGGATTTCTTCTTTTTTTAAATTTATTTATTTATTAAAGATTTCTGTCTCTTCCCCGCCACCGCCTCCCATTTCTCTCCCCCTCCCCCAATCAAGTCCCCCTCCCTCATCAGCCCAAAGAGCAATCAGGGTTCCCTGACCTGTGGGAAGTCCAAGGACCACCCACTTCCATCCAGGTCTAGTAAGGTGAACATGCAAACTGCCTAGGCTCCCACAAAGCTAGTACGTGTAGTAGGATCAAAAACCCATTGCCATTGTTCTTGAGTTCTCAGTAGTCCTCATTGTCTGCTATGTTCATAAACAAAGGACATTGAGCCTATAATTAGTGATCCTAGAGAAGCTAAATAACGAGAACCCAAAGAAAAACATACAGGCATCCTCCTGAATATTAACCTTCATCAGGTGATGAAAGGAGACAGAGACAGAGACCCACATTGGAACACCGGACAGAAATCTCAAAGTCCAAATCAGGAGCAGAAGGAAAGTTTACTATTTCAACAGAAGAATTTGGGTAGGGAACTAAGGTCGAGTACGGAGAACCAGATTTCTCCATGAGATATGACCTCCAGCATCTCTCTCCATTGCACCATGACATTGTTACTGTGTGGCTCACACACAGAGGTGATCATTTCCATTTATCTCCGTGATGGGAGATTTCACTGATTTCATTCCATGAACTTAATATACAAAGAATATCATCTCTATTGAGTCATGTTAATAAAAATATTGTTGCCCCAAAGCTGTATATTCATAATTGAACAATTATAATTGAACATAATTATAAAACAGCTGCTTTATAATTAGTTCTTAGTATGTAATTATCATCATATAATATATATATATATATACTATTTTGTCTGTGTATATAACAAATATATTTGGATTGTATATAATAAACAAGGTCACTTAACTAAACTAGAAGAATGTTTTGGTGGGCTTATCTTAAATTAATTTTAACACTCTATCTCCAAAGCTGTTTCATCCATAGGGAGAAATGGAATGGTATTTTGATGCTGTCTTTTAACAGGATATAGATATTTTATGACTAAAGAAAACAAAATAAAAATTGGTTAATAGCTTTTAGATAGTATTTTTACATAGTTCATGAAAGTGATAAGTATCCAACTTGTGTCTCTAATACGACACAATTTTCTAACATCATTATCTCAGTGTAAAAAATAATGTTTAAAACCACTTGGGGGGAAAGATCTTAATATTTAAATGTCCATAGCAGTAGCACTGGGTTTTAATGTGAGAATTTAAACATGAGCCTAAGCATGTCCTATTTAAATTATAAATATGAAAGAGATTTATCTTCCCACAGAAACCATACTCTATAATACAGTCATTCATTTTGTCAGGTGATTGATAGCAAATTCCACATAAGAATATCCTATATATTAGGCTACATATATGTGTAAATGTGTTTTACAAAGCAATCTTTCAAATGGCAACTTTCCAGTCTTATGGAGTTGTATGATCTCCAACCACCTAGCTCTTTTTCATTGGACAGAAAATATTGTCCCTTGAGACTTCATGTACTGGACCATGGTAATAACTGTGTTTAATTTAAACAGCATTCTTTCAAGAAAGAAGTGGATTAAGTCATTAACCACTACAATGATGACTCAGCTATAAAATTAAAATTAGATACGGATTTGTTTGAAATATTATCCAAAAGCCATAATGCTATATTTGGTGACTTAATTTGGTTTATTTTAATCTTTCCATCAGAGGGGATATTTGCTTAAACAATTAAATGTAGTCTTCTTTGTTTGGATTAGGGATGGGCTTATCTCATTGCTAACTTTCTGTGGCAAAGTCGGTTCAAAAAATATCAATAGACACAATACATATATTATGTATATGTACATATGCAACACATATATTAGTGTGCATCTGTCTAGCAATATATGTATCATTGTATGTTCATCCTACATACTGATCTTTCTTTCTTAACTGACTTGATGAACTGTCTTCTCTAAGTTTTTTTTTTTAGAAAAATAATTAAGAGTATTATCAGCATGTTTGTAGAGGGCAGTGATCTCATATGTTTGTTGGCATACCAAGAACTACAGTAAAAATAACTCAACAGAAGGATATTTGGGCATCCACCAACACTTAGCATGTACATCCAGAGTCACTTCAGCAGGTGGAATTATTCAACAAACATGTGGTACTCTATTCTGTTTAGAAACAAACTGAAGCATTCAAAACATATTTCAAGAATGAAAATGGTTCTTAGCAACTTTAAAATATATCACTGAAAAATAGTTTTTATATTTAATGTAGATATATTGGGAACAAAACACAATAGAACCAATCTAAAAATTGGTAAATATTTGGAAAATTGTTTACAAAATAAAGTTACTTTGTTTATGTGTTGTGGTCTTTAAAAAAACATTTATTATTTATTTATTTATTTGTTTGTTTGTTTATTGTGTGTGATACTGTGGGGGAGATGGAGGAGGGGGAGCACAAACCAAAGATTATGGAGATCAGAGGACTGCTGATGGGAACTGGTTCTCTCCTACTGGGTGTGGTCCAGGGAATTAACGCAGGTCATCAGGCTCGAAAATAAACACCTTTCCTTGGCCTGCCGTGAAATTGACCCTACTGGGGTACTTGGGAAGCATTTATTTCCAAACTGTTACTAAATCTTGTCATGACATTTGCCAATTTAAGTGGGATGTTTACTTATAGCAACTGTGCTTTCATTTTTGCTTTGTTTGCCTTTAAACTTTTTCAAAAGTGGGTGTAGAAATAGCTGACAGTTTTCTTATCAGGTATAGCCCAGTGCAAAAGATACACTTTCATTCCATCTTTTTCTTCTGTATTCACTGTTTCTTTTTTGCTAGGTGGCATGCATGCAGTGGTTTCATGGAGACCATACAATGCTTGAGATGATTGAGAAAAAGCGTTGCTTGTGCAAAGAAATAAAGGCTAGACAGAAAACGGAAAAGGGCCTTTGCAAACAGGATAGCATGCCCATCCTGCCCAGCTGGAAGAAGAATGCGGGAACAAAGAAGTACAGCCCTCCACCCTATTCTAAACAGCAAACGGTATTCTGGGATACTGCCATATGAGTGTGTACGGGCATGAGCTCCACATTGCTTAATACAAGGGAGGTTGACTTGGTCGTGTGAAATTAATTGTCACATATATTCTCTGTTGATGTGGAATACCACAGGAATCTGCGGGTACTGTGGCAAGTCCAAGATAAAAATGTGTTTGTCCTTGCAATTAAGGCACACTCTCTTATGGTGGATTGTTTTGAATCCAGAAAATATTAAACTGTAAATATTTTGCTAGTTTATGGGTGACACCTGAAATATTCCTTATACATATTTAAGTTGGAGAAATAACAGAAAAGTTTACTAGATGATATAATTTGGTATTAACTGGTTTGTTATCTCTTTTATATGTAGCCCCCGGATGCCTTTTCTTATTAATTTTTTTGCATTTAGAATGTCTTTGTCCTCCTGCCCACATTTGGCTTCTGTGGAAGAGCTCACAGGTATATGTCCTATTTAAGCACATCATATGTGATCTGGTGCTAGCAATACAGAAGTTGAATATTACGTTTGTAAAGCTTGTCTGCTGCTTTCTATGTTTGTAGGGGATTGATGAGAAATGAACGAAAGTATGATATTAGTCTGCACATCCATGTTACCCTGATGTGGACAATCTTTGCTACAGTGACTTCCTAAGGATTTGTTTCATATCCTGGTGTTTGCACTTAGTCAGACTACAGTGGAAGGCTGTAACATATATTAGGACATTCCTGCAGCAAACTTACTTTCAGAAATTACTTTTAGGGGTGTGTGTCCTTGCAGCATTGATCTGATTGGAGGAGACCAGGGTTCACTGTGACAATTGAAGGAACAAAAAAAAACAAAACCTTAAGAGCTCAGCTGTTTTCAAGGAAATAGGAGCAGAGGCACGGTAGACATGATACTTTTAAGTAACATTTCATGGGCATGATTCTCCCACAAGAAGTTGAAAATGAACATTCAGTATAGCAATTTCCAAGTTTTAGTATACTCCACGCCAACCTTCCTCAAAATTTAAGTCCATTCATGGAAAAGTATTTCTTGCCAATCATTTTAAGCTAGTTATTACATTTTGGGTCATAATCTTCTGTTCATAACTATCGCACCCATTCTTACTGATTATGACACCACGACCAAAGAGTTATGACCACTTTTTTATTTTATTTTATTTTATTTTGTTTTATGGAAGTAAAGAAAATGCAGGGGAGAAAGAGTAGGGTGGACTCAACTTTATGTGGTAGTAAACTTTTAGTTAAGAAGTTTAATTTAAGAAAAATAGCATATATCTTTAAAAGTAACTTGTTAGTTGAAAATAAATATTGCCACGAATAAATAAAAAGGAAACTATCACATATATTTTGTATATTTAAATTAATATTTATGCTTCCTAAAATTGACAGTATGTGGTTCTTCATTAACAATCAATTTAGTATTATATTTCTGAGAGGAAAAAGTGTGTTTGAAGTTATTATCATAGCAGTTTTTCTTGTAAGGGTATTGACAGCAATAGCTCCATGCTGCTCAATAAAACCAAATATAACAGAAGTTAAGGAATTTTTGTAACCTATATTGATAAAAAAAGTTCTAGTAATTCTTTATCAGTAAAAGTTCCTTGAAGAGAGTTTGAAATGTTATAACATAATTTTTTAATGTTTTATAATTAATGTATATTTTGATGTCCAATTATAATCCTGAAAGAATAAGGAAAATGGTAAGTGGGAGCATGTGCTGTGTGAGTGTGTGTGTATGTGTGTATGTGAACAATCAGTGGGAATACTGTATATATAAAATGCTTACTGAAATTGTAAGTTATGCTTGTATAAGTAAGAGGTGACAAAGGCGAAGTCACAAATATAGGATACCACAGAGAGATCTTAAATAGCTTAAATGGGTGCTGTTGCTGTATTTTACCAGCTATGTAGACCTATAATTCAAGCCCAGCAATCAATACAGAACAGACATATGAGTGATGAAAATGTTTTAAGATAAAATCATAATTGAAATCAAGTGTGTTTTTGGCCCAAATTGTTATCTTGATTTAAGTTATTATGACCTCATATATTCAAGCCAATCAATCAAACACAAGGCACCATTTGTCAGAATCTCTGTGATCTTATCTTTTGGCTATTACAGTAAAGATGAGCCCTCTCTTGGCATTTAAGTGTAGGAAATATATTTCCAAGTGTGTTTTCACTGGCTGATCTTATACCTATCACTCTGAATTAGGTAGAAGGTAATTTTAAATGTTGGTCACTAGAAGGAAACAGAGGTACTAAAATGGTGTAGTTGGACTCAACCATTCATGGGTCTTCTGTTCAAGCCAGGGCCACATGTCACGTACTCCTTTCTCAAATCTGTTATTTTTGGAGGAGTTCGCTGTTTTGAACATTTGAACTTAGCCAACCATTTCCATTTATTTCTCAAAATCTCTTTCTACATGAGAAAGAGTTGGAATATCTGGAAAGATGGCTTCACTTGGATTTGACTTCAGATCTGTCATCTGTGCCTATATAATAAATAATTGTCCAATGTGGCAATTAGCTATTCTACAGTCAACTTCATCTTTGTATAGGCTTTCTCTTCGTTGTGAGAGTAGCTAGAGAAAAGCATGCTGACTCTCTGGTGGCAATAAATCAGACACTTCACCTGGTCAGAAGATAATCTGCAGCCAGCACATGATGTCATGATAAAGCCCATATTTCTAGCAATGCCAAAGAACAAATCATATGAAGGCATGTTATCAGGCAAAGGGAACTCATACTCATGACAAATTGTCTTTTCACAGCAAATGTTGTAGAAACAGGATTTTATTGGCTGTCAGCAAGACAGCTTTATGTGCAAAATACTTCTTAGTAGAGAAGACATGAATTTCCTTAGAAATGATGGAAGGAAAGGGTAAAATACTGTGTTTTCCCCATCACAGAAGCCAGCACTATGTGAGAAATCACACTTTTTAGAGACACTGCCAATATCTTCCTCTGCATGCTATTGAAGCAAGTTTGGGGTAAAAAGTGATTGAATTTTCAGCTACATAATAACTGAGAAAGAAAAACAAACACCAAGAGGTAAAGTGTGTTATTTTATAATGCATATACCTTTTGAATACAAAATAATTGTTTGGACATAAGATCGCTTTTCAAAATAGTGACAGTTTCGAACCATTGACAGGCAACAGGATTTTGTTCAAATGGTTCTAGAAAGCAGACCTATGTTACATATGTGTAGTCTTGTCTACACCCAGAATTAGGTTGGCTTCCTTTGAACAAGTTAAACAGAAAGTCAACACACTGGAACAGCCCCAGCTAGTTACTATTTCAATAAAGTCATCAGAAGAATGCTCCTATAGTTTATATCACTTACATGCTAAACTCAGTCAAGTTCCCATTGGAGATGTTATAAATTAATCATGTTTCCAGTTGAAATTAAGCCAAATATTCCTACAATTTATGGAGTATGTAATTTGTGGGAGTTGTAAGTCTTATTTGGAAAGGAATGTAGAAAGGATAGACCATGATCTCCTCATGAATTATATCCCAAATTGAAAAGGTAATAAAGTAGAAATGACACATTCAATATATAGGGACACGTACAACACCTTCCTGGTTTGGAATAATAACTAGCTAATTGCATAATTTGAAAAATTTGTTAGTAATGCATCATTTCTTTAAAAGTTCACTGTATCATTTTATTAGACAGTTTCAGAAGCACTTGGAATTGAACATTGAAATAAATGTGGTTTTTGAAATTAGGGAACTCAATTATGCAATCATTAGTATTTTCAAAATAAAAAGCCAACTGGAGTATACATGATTTTACATGTTTGGCAGCTTTTAAGTGGTTTTATGCAGCATTCTTGCTATTTTTTGGTCAAGTGTACAGTCAAAATAAAAGATTAAAATATACTAAATTTATGTCTAAGTATAGCATATGTGTATGTGTAAGCTTCTACTTGTACATTACAATATGTACTGATGTCTGTGTAAATCAGTAAAAGATAACACTGTTTTATCATGTTACATGTAGACATTGTGGCTTGGGGTTTGGATGGTTTAAAGCCCTCTCATATTTGGGTCAATTCTATTGGAATAATAATCTGGAAAAATGTCTGGTAACATTTTCTTTTATTATTATGAAGCTTCAGAGTTAAGGAAGAACATTTTAAAAAGTATCACTGAATTTATCTCCAATAAAAGTATGAATATTCCTTCAAAGTTTTGCTCCCAAATATAACTGGGTTTGCCCACCCTACATGCATTTATATTTAAACATGTACACACTCAGAGACAGAATGCATACTGTATATAATATATATGACAATGTTTAGTATGCACTTCTTTTCTTTGGACTTCTTAACATTTATAGTGTAGCAATTTGTGTAAAGTGCACTGTGATTATAAGAAGAATCAAAGCACAGTACAGTCACACTTTTGTTATCTTGCACTAAAAGCGTGTTTACGTATTTAGCAATTGTATGTTTACTTTCTTGACTTTTCAAACATTTGAAACAAATTGCTATGAAAAATGATATAAAATAATCTGTTTTTTAGTGGATAATTACACTACATTTTTAAAAGACAGGGTTTTTAAAGAAAATCATTTAACATCCATTCCAACATTAAGAAGTTTACCATATCTAAAAATCTGAATGTCATATTGCATTTTTCATAACTCATTAGCAATGTCAGGTATGTGCCTGGATATTTGTGGAAATAAGCATTAGATAACAGATTTCTCTATTCATGTATTCCTAGGCATTTCTATATACATAATAATATAAACACTGATGTTTTAATGTCTCTTAATTTTGTACTTGATTTTTTTAGTAATATGTAATTATATATGTTCTTTGATACTACTGAAGTAACCAGATGTTGTTTGAAAACAAATTGATTTCTCTTTAGTGCATTGACAATATTTTATGATATTTTGTGCTTATTTATTTGTGCTCCCGTGTAATTACAATAAAAGCAATAGTTTAAATTAGATGGCTGTTGTTTCTCATAATTATTCACCAAGAAGCAAGATTTAAAAGGGCAATTGGGTTGTCCATAAGTTTAAAGCATTCTATACATATATTAGACTTTCATGGTGTCATTTAATAATTTACAGAATAAATGTTAATTTTCAAAAGACTTAGAGAAAAGCATACCTTTTAACTTTTAGATTTGTTGGTGAGGCTGTATGAATTGTTGGACACTGAAACTCGTAAGTATTAAAGGCCTTAACTCTGTAGTCATGTGACCCCTTATGCTGCTCTCACTTATGACTTAGTTTTTGTCTCATGAAGATACATTACTTTGACATTTCATTTTATTCCAAACTTGACCTAAAACTAGTCATATCTAACACTAGAGTATTAAAGAATAGAATCCAGAACCCTAACCTCATGCTCTCAGATAAGATATTTATTGGGATGGTATTAAGTCATATTTTATTCTTTAGATCCTTCTAGTAATAACCTAAATGAAATAATGAGTCTGTGTTTACTGTTGGCAGGATGTCAATAAAAACTACTTCTGAATATCTGAAACATGACTTTGGGGCTCATTGATCATATACAAATATGTAATATTTTTTAATGGTCTCTAATGCCTTCTTCATAAGCCACTTATCTAATAACCAAAATTAATGTGAATTTAATTGATTATATTTTCAAAGTTACTCAGTAACAATTCCCACTGTTCATTTTTTTAAAAAAAAGATTTATTCATTTTATCTATATGGACATTTGGTTTGCATGTATGTATGTGAAATATTTGTTTGCCTGATGCCCTTGGGTTAGAAGAGAACACTGGATCCCGTTGAACTGGAGTTGCTGATGGCTGTGAGAGGGGTCATTTCTAAGAACAACAAGCACTCTTCAAGGCGGAGGCTTTCTTCACTTGCCCACCATCATTTCTTAAGAGGAACTAACTTATCGCTACTGTTTAGCTCAGCTCCTCCAGGTATTACAAAGCTCATCGTGATGATCTGCCTCTTGGTTTAACAAGAAATTACTAGTGACACCTTCATCTCATCACCAAAGCTCCAATCTATGTCCAGCTCAGTTGGTGATAAAAAAAATGAGTTTATATTCCATATTTTAAATTAAAGATTGCTTTTATCATCCTAAGTTCTGTTAAATCTCTATTCTCTACTTTGTAAATTTAGACCTCAGTACAACTAAGTTAAGAGTAACAGGTGAGTTACTATTAAACAAAATCCATTCTCTTATGGTTATTTGTAGTCAAGGCATATTTACTAATATGCAGATATATTCACATACATGGGCATGTGACAGAACAGGCTAGAATAGGAGAATCTGAGAAAACTCTGTAGCCTCAAATTATATTTTATAGAGATATTATTCTCATACTGCTAGACAGAAAATCAAGACCCCTCTCTTATTTAGGAGTTCTATTACTATGGGATATCTATATTTTATTACCAAGAGCAACTTAGGGAGAGAGAAGATTCTACCTCTCAGGTCACAACCCATTACTGAGGGAAGCCAATACAGGAACTCAGGGCAGAAACATAGAGGGATGAACTGAAGAAGAGACTATGGAGGATTGTTACTTACTAGTAACAGTTTTCCTCATGGCTTGCTCTATCTGCTTTCTTTATTTTTCTTTCTTTCTTTTTTGAAAACTATAATTTATTATTTTTTTTAAAAAACTATGTTTTCTCATTTTACATTCCCAAATCCATATCCACTCCCCCCCCTTCCACCTGTCCCCTCCACGTTCCTCCTCCCACTCCCCATCCACTCCTCAGAGAGGGTAAGGTTTCCCATGGGGAGTCAACAAAGTCTAGCACATTGCTTTGAAGCAGGACCAAGGCCCTCCCTCCTATATCTAGGCTAAGCAAGGGTTCAGAGAGAATGGGTACCAAAAAGTCAGAAGAAGCAGTAGGGATAAATCCTGGTCTCAGTTCCAGTGGCCCCACAGTCTGTCCCAGTCATCCAAATGTCATCCACATTCAGAGGGCCTAGTTTGGTCTTATGCTGGTTCCCTTGTTGTCAGGCTGGAGTTGGAAGACTTCCATTAGTCCAGGTAAGTTGTGTTAGTGGGTTTTTCTTTCATTGTTTTGACCTCTTTGTTAGTATTCTCACTTCTCCTCTCTTCAACTGGACTTTAGGAGCTCACCCCAATGCTTTGCTGTGGATCTCTGCATCTGTTTCCATCAGTTGCTGGATTTAGGTTCTATGATGACATTTAAGATAGTCATCAATCTGATTACAAGGCAAGGCCAGTTCAGGTACCCTCTCCACAACTGCTCATTCCTACATAGCTCAAGACTACCTGTCCAGAGGTGGCACCACATACAATAGACTGAGATACACCAGATCAATCACTAATTGAGAAAATGTAGAGCTCAATAAAAATCAATAAATTAAAAAAGATAGAAAATATCAAAAGCCAAGTTAACTACTTCTTACTCCAAGGAAGAAGCAGGGTACACACACAACCAAATCAAAGTAAATTCAAACTCCAACAGAGTAATTTCAGTGCCATAGTTCTGAGATCCACTTATAATCCTCAATTGCAAGGCACTTAGACCATTCCACTTTACATTTTGGCTGTCCTTTGTGGTTATCTCATGGTTCTGTC